CCGCATCAGAGAATTATGGGATGGCCACAGAAGGGACTAGGAGTGTTGTCGCGTTGTTTGGTGTATGAGTGTGTGTTTTATTTTTGTGTTCGTAAAGTGGTGTGCGCGTGGTGTGTGTGATGCGTCCTAGTCGACCGACGTCGAGTCGCGCTCGGGGCCTCATCCCCCCCAAGATGTCGGTTCGCGTGCGGGTCCGATAGAGGCGTATTACCGCGCGTACCCCCTATGCTACAGCGAACGAGAAACGCCCTTGACTGGTCCACCTTTGCGATTGCAACTAATTAGCTTTTGTACTGTGGACTGGTAGCTCGGCGGGGATACGCCCACCGAAGGGAGGTGACAGCTCCCGTAAGGTGGAGGTAAGTCGTGCCTAGCGTAGGCCCTATCCTGTCATAGGGGCTCGCGAGAGGTATCGCTGGCGCACTCGGCCGGAGCGGCTTGCGGAAGCTCCATATATATTTGCGACGAGGATTTAGACCAACTCCTGCGTGACGCGGCGGGGATGGTCCCGCGCTGCCCTGGTGTGGTGTCGGATCGATGCGCCCGACAGGTACGACGAATATTTCATGGTGAAAATGATTTTTTAAAATAGATTATGTTTTGAGAGGAAACTGAGATCCCCTTTTATCCTTTGCTTTTTAGAGTTTCTGTATGGTTGGACGTTGTAGTCCATGACAGTCGTCAAAGTCAAACCCCTTGATTTCTTTTCAGGCCCTAGATGATGGAGCTGGTCTCCAGCGCGATAAGAGACGATTGTCACCACAAGTGTGAACCTGTGTACCACCCACTCTCCGCAGGGTGCAGAAGAGGGTGTGGTCTTCAACCACACTTGGTGGTTGTCTTGCGTCGAGAGATCAACCCCTCAAGGCGCGTGTTAGCCGTGTCGAACGCGACCCTCGAGATTAACGAAGACCGCATGAGCATGGGTACTACATAGTACGCCATCATTGCGTCTACTTGCATATGCATGCATTGCGAGTCGATATAAGTTAGCCTTGCGTCCGTGCGGATTTTTATACTAAGTCTCGCGCACATCGCCTATCCGATTTCTGCGTCAGAAGGTTATGGGATGGCTACAAAAGGGACTAGAGGTGTTGTTGTGCTGTTTGTTTTGTGTCGTTCTGTGTGTGTGTTGTGGTGTAACGCGTGGTGTGTGGGATGCGTCCTAGTCGACCGACGACGAGTCGCGCGTGGGACTTCAGCCCCAAGTGCGCCGGTTCGCGTGCGGGTCCGATAGAGGAGTGAGACCACGCGTAACCCCTATGCTATAGCGAACGAGAAACGCCCTTGGCTGGTCCACCTCTGCGATTGCAACTGATTAACCTTCGTACTGTAGACTGGTAGCTCGACAGGGATACGCCTACCGAAGGGAGGTGACAACTCCCGTAAGGTGGAGGTAAGTTGTACCTCGCGTTGGCCCTATCCCGTCGTAGGGGCTCGTGAGAGGTATGGCTAGCGCACTCGGCCGAAGCGGCTTGCGGAAAACTCCATGTTTATCGCGACGAGGATTATACCAACTCCTGCGTGACGCGGCCGGGAGGGTCCCGCCCTGCGTGGAGCGGGAACGATGCGCTCGACACCGCAACTGCCAGCCCGAGTTCAAGCCTCCAATGAGGGAACATGTGGGGGTTGCACCCGACATGCAGGTTGGCGATAACGGTCAGGGGTCAGCCGGTAGCATCAGGACCGACTTTTTTTTTTTTTTTTTTTTTTTTTTTTTTTTTTTTTTTTTTTTTTTTTTTTAGCCCAGGTTGTTGTAGAGGTTGGGCTTCTATACATACGAGGGGTGCCTTCGGGTCTTGGCTATGCGATATTCCTATGAAACTTCCCTTCCAACCTACCACTTTCGTAGTTTTCCCCCGGCGCACCTCTACTCCCACGGTGCTAACTTATCCACGAAGGAACATGACCTTACAGTCTATTGCAGACGGAGGGTGACCTGACCGGACAGTGGTCACAAATACCGGACTAAGTAGAGCCCTACTTACTCTATTCAGTCTTGATCGAAGCATTGTTGTGCGAACCTTGCCTCACGGGTACTTTTGGCGCTAGGACAAACCGTATCTCTACACGTCTCATAGGTACATTATTCCGATATTCTATTGTATGGTGATGATAGAGAACTGGGTATCCTCCGTTCCCTCGTGTGTCCCTGAAGCCCGTTCCGGCCCCGCGGTAAGGCGCGGTATCTCCTAACAACCCCGACATCCCGTACTAAGGAACTGCTATGCTAGCCTCAACCCTATGCTACGTACTAGGAGGATAGTCAACCCTTAATCATGACTTGTGGATGAATCCGTTATCCTTATGTTGTATTACTTCGGTGTTTTATTGTATGATGGTAGCATGCGACTCGTTGTTCTATTGTGTGATGGTAGAGAGTTGGGGATCCTCATTTTTCTTGTATATCTTTGGAGCCCATTCCGTCCCTGCGGTAAGGTGCATTATCTTCTGACACCCCCGACATCCCGTACCAAGGAACAACTATGCTAGCGTCAATCCTAAGCTATGTACTAGGAGGATAGCCAACCTTGCGAATCTATTAACCCTGTGTTGTATGGTAATCTGTGAGAGTTGACAATCATCCGATCCCTCGTATGTCTCTGGAGCCCGTTCCGGCCCCGAGGTAAGGTGCAACAACTCCTGACACTTCTTACATCTGGTATTAAGGAACTGCTATGCCAGCCTCAACCCTTGACTACCTACTACTGTCATCCTCCAAACATAATGCACATGCGTTGTATTCGAGTTTTCTAAAAAAATAGGTTTTCGGAAAGTTCGACCCTTTTCTTTGAATACAAGGACACTTCAAATATAATGCATATGTGTTCTATTCGAATAATAAGCATATGCGTTATATTTGAATGTCACAAAGAGAAAATTGTTGTATTCGGATATAACCTCCCCCCCCCCCCCCCCCCCC